TAATTTTCTCTACTTTATAAGTAAAATTTTTCTTATGAAAAATATAATTTTTCACTCCTCACAACGAGTATATTTTTTATTATAAACAAACTTTTGTTATACATAATTTTAGCGATGCACACAACTTTACCATTCATAATATTCATCACAAAAATCATAACTTTCATTTTGGGTGTGTACGATGCAGTTTAGGTGGTTTGAGAGTAAAATTATAAACCGAATTGTAGATTAGCGGATTGGCAAATTACAATTTGTGCGGTTTTGGACAGATTGGTGGATTAAAGAATATTTTAACCAATTGTCAAGACTTTGCATAATATATAATACTAATTTGCATAATATTTTTCATATATATAATACAAACTAATTTTACATAATATTTTTCATATATATAACTATTAATTTGTAATAAATTTCACATATTTAAATATCTCTCACACTTATTTTTACTTTGATATTTCATTATAGATTAAAATATATATATGTATTAACTATAGTAGAGCAGAGCGATTTTGAAGGTAGATTGTAAATTTTAAAGTTTAAATTGCGGTTAGCGGATAGAGTGGTATGAATTGATGCAGATAGATAACTACGGTTTTAGCGGATTTGATGGCATTTTGCACAACCCTACTTCCATCACTAGAGATGTTAGAGATTAACAATGTTACATGTAGAGCAATGTTACATATACTTAAATTTTTACTAAAAGACTTATGAAGAGCATACATGTTCAAACATCATTAGATGTTCATCATTATTTTTTTGATAACCAATTATATTTGACCTTTTATTTTTTTAGTAATATTTTTAGTAGGAGCATTAGTATCGATAGAATTATTCGATAAATAATATACAAAGACAGCCGGGTACAATTTGAAGGGTATTCATTGAGTAATGTTGCTGCTTCTAATTCATCTGCTGATTGTTTTGCTAGCTATGGCCATATCGTGAACTTTATTCGGGTTGGTCTCTGGCATTTTGATGCGTAGGTGGTGTAACATGTTAAACACCAAGTAACTTGGTGGTGCATTGCCTTGCTCAGATGGCGGCAAACCTTCAAGACCAAGTTATTTAGATGGAGGAGGTTCCGATTTCGTTGGAGCAACCTGTGCTAGCTGAGGCCCCTATTTTTTCAGGCTAATGTGTTTTTCAGTTTATGCCTTTGATTTTACCCCTCATCAATCTAAAAAAAAAAACTTAAACAAAGGGAATTCTATTTAAACCAAAAAAATATTTAAGTGAGCCCCAATTTTAATACACCCTATTAAATTATTTAGGCTTACAATTTATTCTCAATACATCCTATTTTTTCTCCCAAATTACCCTTTTGAGGTATACCCAAATAAAACAAATAAAAAAGTTCAAATTACTTTTGAAAAATACTTTGAAAAATCTTTCTTTTATTTACATACATACAGGGAACACAACCAAAGAATCCGACACTGGCGAAGGAGAAGGATGAAGGCGAAAGAGTGGGTGAACTTTGCGTTTGGACTTTCAGAACCGAATAAAGTGAATTTATTCGGTTTTGGAAGTCTGAGTGTGAACTTTGAATTTGTTCGGTTTTGAACGTCCGAACAATAATGACGAAAAGTATGTTGAATATTCGCTTTTATGTGTAAAAAAAAAAACACGCAGACACAGAAATCAATAATTGTACTTTGATATTTATGTGAATACTTATCTCCTCTTTGATGGGTTCCTTAAAAAACTGTTTTGATTATTACTCTCATCCATTATTTGATTTTATTCAAACTTTCTTTTATTTACAAGTAACAATATAATAAAAAATAATGATGTTGATGATAATGGAGAGTTTTGGTAGGGTGGATTAGAGTTTTGGAGTGAGTAAGAAAAAGAGAAAATAATTGAAATTTGGAAAATAATATGAAGAGATTTGAATAGAAAGAATACGTATAATTGATTAGGGTGTATTATGAGAAAAAAATAATATTTTATTTTAAAATTTAACAAGTAGTTAACTCGTGCGATGCACGGGTTAATTGTTTTCCTTTTTAAATAATATTTTATAAAATTAAATTAAATTATTTATATATGCCTATATATAAATTATTTTTAGAAATACATTGTAATGTATGCATTACAAAAGAATAATATAAATCTATGTATACATATACATAAAACTGTGTAAAAACTATTTAAAAAATATATAACAATTTTCGTTATATAAAATTATGAAAGTGTAGTTTAAATATATATATATATATATATATGTGATATTTTTGTACTTAATTTCATTTTAATATTAAAAATAATGATTAAATTGGGGAAAAAAGTTATTTAAAATTAAAGAATGATTCTAATTATTTATTTTGATAATCTTAACCTTATCGTTTTATAAAATGTTATTTAAACAAATAAATATAATAATTTTATTTCAATTACTTATGTTTATTTTAATAACTTTAGCCCTATCGTGCTATAAATGTGTAACTAAAATAAATATGTAATAATTTTATATGATATTAAATTATAAAATAGTAAAATAAACACTCAATTTGACATTAATAATAATAGTTAGATTGAAAAAAAATAATAACATACAATTAAAAGTGATTCTAATTATTTATTTATTTTATTCAGCGGGAAATAATAATAATAATAAAAGTAGGTATGGAAGTTATAAAGAAATTTATTTTTAAAAAAATTAAATATAAGTATGTTGCGATAAATTAAGAAAAAATAGATAAATTAATTATGTTGAGTATTGATTTTAGGGAAAATTAGTTTAAGGTCTCTTTCCCATTTTTAGTAATGGAAGAGATCCACAATATTATTTTGTGATGTCTAAAGTCCCTCAACCCCTGACATCTATATATCATAGAGAATTTTGACCCCCTCAAATCAAACTGCCTCTCCCATTTTTCTTCTCTCTCTGCTCTTTTCTCTCTGATGAACTCCACCTCCATCGACGGAGTTCGTCAACGTCATCGTCTTCTCCAAATCTCTCTCCTCTGTCAAGCGAAGCTCAAAGCATCTTTATCCATGAACGATTTTACCGATATCGGAATCGAAGTGTACCACGACGAGAAGACAACCCAATGGTGGGACTAAACAACGATATCATCACCATCAAGGCTGATGACGGAAGTGATACTGTCACTTTCATGTTTGAAAGCCCTAGTAAGCTTCTCTTAGTTCTTCCTCCTCTGGCTCTGTCCTCTACTAGTCCTGGAACAAGGTCTCTCTCTCTTTTTCTCTCTCACACAACTCATGCACATACAAACATCTATATATATAGTATGAAGTTAAACTGTTTGAAAAAATGCTTCTTAGAACTCCAAAACACATAACTGTGAGATTTGATTTGACAAAACTCTTCTTAGAACTGTAAAACATATACCTGTGAGCTTTAAAGCTAACATGTTTGATAAAATGCTTCTTAAAAAAACAATCACAATTTTCTTTAGTTTGTTCAAAACACAGAGAAAATTGTGATTATTTTTGGTTTCTAAGTAGCCCATTTTATCTGGTTTGTTCAAAACACAGAGAAAATTGTGATTTTTTTTTTGGTTTCTAAGTAGCCCAATTTGCTCTGGTTTGTTCAAAACACAAAGAAAATTGTGATTGTTTTTTGGTTTCTTAGTAGCCCAATTTTCTCTAGTTTGTTTAAAACACAAAGAAAATTATGATTGTTTTTGGTTTCTATGTAGGCCAATTTTCTTTGATTTGTTTAAAACAATCACATGTGATTGTTTTTAGTTTCTAAGTAGTCCAATTTTTTCTGATTTGTTCAAAACACAGAGAAAATTGTGATTGTTTTTAGTTTCTAAGTAGCCCAATTTTCTCTGATTTGTTCAAAACATAGAGAAAATTTTTCTGGTTTGGAGAGAATTTCTCGAGAAAGTTTAGAGAAAACTAGAGAAATTTGTGCAAACCAGAGAAATTTAGATAGAATTTCTCTAGGAAGTCCAAAGAAATTCTTTGGATTGAAATTTCTTTGGATCGATGTGTGAGGAACCTTAGACATTATGAAAATATTAGATGTCATTTATGTTATAAAATCTTAATATCAGGGGCCCTAAAAAAAATCCCCTTGATTTTTCTTTAATATCTATTTTAAAACTATTCACTAGAAAAGTATAGTTTAAATTATATATATGAAAAATACGTAATTCTCTAATAGAGTCCATATAAAATTGGTTATTATAATTGAAATTGAGTTTGTATAAAACTTTATATGAAAATGAAAAATGTATGGTGATGTGACTTTTTTAGGAAAAAATAAAACTTTAGAATGCGTATATATATATAAAAAAAAAGTATTTTTTAGATAGAGTTCATTTAAAATTGATTGTTATAATTGTAATTGAGGTTGTATAGAATATTATATGTAAATAGAAAAGGCATGATGATGTGACTCTTTTAGAAAAAAATAAAATCTTATAATGTACCACTTAAATATGAGAAAAACATTACTTTTAATAATATATACAGTGACGAAGGAAAGTGAGGGCCGGGGGATCACAAGCCCCCCTGGATTTTGGACTCTTTTTATTTTTATTTTTTATTTTACAAATATAAAGAAAATATTTTAAATAAAAAAAATTACAAAAATATTATTAAAGTGAAATGTCAATGACATTTTAAAAATTATGAGAACAATAATAGTTATTTTGATTGAAAGTGAAGAGACTACCATATTATCTATAAAAAAATCAACCATGCTAAATACCCCCACTGGGGGTCGACCCCAGTGAGGTGGCGGGCCATGATTCGCTGAAAAAAAAAAAAAAAAAAAATAGTTTTTTTTTTTTTTGGCCAATGAGAGGGCAACACACACGACCCCCAATGACCCCCACTGGGGGTCTGAGGCATTTTTGTAAAAAAATTTATAATTTTTTTTGAATGTAACAGTTGTCACGACCCGCTCCCCGTACCCAAAGGTTAAGTATCGTGATGGACAGTAACTGAGATTGCCTCCGGCCAATTCTTAAACAAATCAATAAACGCAAGCGGAAGTAAAATTTAAGTAAGGGTACCAAAATAATCATTAGAGTTTCTATTTTTATTACAAAATTTATTGACACAAAAAGGCCGATATTTACATATAAAAATATCAATAAAAGTGTTGTGTGTGTCTATTCCACAACCTGACTTTCCAAAAATTATTTCTGAATTGCATTGTTTCCTGAAAATTGGTAAACAATTATAAGCACATGGTAGAGTGAAAAATATTATACCAAGAGTATAAGGGACACGAAATAACCATGAATAGTTAATTAGGCCAAAACATTTAAGATAACTTAATCGGAACAAATAATCCTTTAAGTAGCAAAATTGAGATTATTTTCATTTAAGCGGCAGAAACTGAAATACATAAATTATGTAAGTAAATGACCATAACCACGGTATTGAACATAACTGAACAGATGTCACAGAAATGACAATCAGAACAGATGTACGGATTTAAGAGGTGGCTCATACGGATTTTAGAGGTGACTCCTATAATAGTGTAGCACTTAGCTCCGCATAGAACTTTGGTCTGCACAGAACAGAGGTCAATGGATCTATGACAAACAGAGGACCACAAAGTGGTCAAACAGAGGCCAATAGTTATTTAAGTCCCCGAAAGCGTGGGACTCCGGTGGTGGTACTTACAAAACATAATTGTTTATAAGGTCATAGTCAAATATTCTTTAAAATATAAACAGACATATCCATGGATTTCCTTTTCACAAATAGGGGTCAGAAAACAAACCACGTAACTGAAATAGTTATATAGTTTATTATAGTTTATGAAACATAACTTGTATAAGATAAATATGGTAAGTCAAAACATAAGAAAAATACATTTTGGTGACTCAAAATATAATATAACTTACCTTAATTTTAATACCTCACTCTTTCTTCTACCACCAAAGACCCTTTCAACTTCCATTATTTTTTTCTCTATTTTCTTCTTCTCTTTTCTCTCCTGTCTTTCTTCTCTTGTTTTCTCTTCCTTTTATATTAGACGTAAGGCTTGGTCAGCAGGCATACGTGACACGTAGCCACACACGTGGCCTCTCTACATTAGGTGCCATTATAACTCAAGACTTGAAGCTTATTCGGATAAGGTTGGATTAGTTTACGTATTTATACTTTGACCCTTAAATTTATAATAATTAATTATTTATTTTAGTACCATTTTCATTATTATTATTATTTATATTATTTATATTATTAATATTTATATTTTGACCACTAGATTCATAATAATTATATTATTTTATAAAATTACGCATAATAATATATAGTAAATTATATATTTTTCGAACTGAGATTAAATAATATTAATATAAATTTTACAGAATAATTAAAAATCTGGGTTGTTACAATCTTCCCTCCTTTTAAAATTTCGTCCTCGAAATTTGTCATATGTAAACTATCCGCTGCGTACTGATAAATATATATTAGATGATTAATCTAATAAAAAATAGTATCTCAAAAAAAAACTTTACTAAGAATTACTCACTGTCTAGTTGTCAAAAATTAGTTTGGGCCAAAATGAGAAATAAGGAACGACTTTAAAAACTTTTTACTCATTTTGTTCACGATAAAAATAAATAAAAAAATGAGAACACGATGACAAAATTATATGAAAGAATTGAAAATTTTGAAATAAACTTTTTATTGATGGGAAATAGTTTCAAAATTAGTATCTTTATAATTTGAACCCACTTTAAAAAAAATCAAAATAATTTTTTTTTTTGGATACTGAACTGAAAATTATATGTATTTAATTATATTATAACTTTGGTGGGTGCTTGAGCCCGACATCCTTTGTTTATTTTCCTTCTTTTTTTTTTGCTATAACAAATATAAATTATATCTAATATCCTTCACAAATTAGGCACACTAATTTTTTTTTATTATATATATATAATCATATAAAATTATAATATATATAAAATCATAATATAATTAAATCGATTAACAAAATATATTATTTAGTTACTAATTACCCGCTATCCCACTTCTTAAATGTGCATGTGTCCTACGCTCCAATGATGATTTTTTTTTTCTAAAAAAAATCATTGCTCTGATACCACTTGTCACGACCCGCTCCCCGTACCCAAGGGTTAAGCATGGTGATGGCCAGTAACTGAGGTTACCTCCGGCCAATTCTTAAACAAATCAATAAACGCAAGCGGAAGTAAAATTTAAGTAAGGGTACCAAAATAATCATTAGAGTTTTTATTTTTATTACAAAATTTATTGACCCAAAAAAGGCTGATATTTACATATAAAAATATCAATAAAAGTACTGTGTGTGTCTATTCTGCAACCCGACTTTCCAAAAGCTATTTCTGAATTGCTTTGTTTTCTGAAAATTGGTAAACAACTATAAGCACATGGCAGAGTGAGAAATATTATACCAAGAGTATAAGGGACATGAAATAACCATGGATAGTTAATTAGGCCAAAACATTTAAGATAACTTAGTCGGAACAAATAATCCTTTAAGTAGCAAAACTGAGATTATTTTCATTTAAGTGGCAGAAACTGAAATACATAAATTATGTAAGTAAATGACCATAATCACGGTATTGAACAGAATAGAACAAATGTCACAGAAGTAAGGTGGCTCGTACGGATTCTAGAGGTGGCTCCCACAATAGTGTAGCACTTTGGTCCGCACAGCACTTTGGTCTGCACAGAACAGAGGTCAATGGATCCATGACAAACAAAGGACTACAAAGTGGTCAAATAAGCGCCAATGGTTATTTAAGTCCCTCAAGGCGTGGAACTCCCGTGGTGGTACTTACAAAACATAATTGTTTATAAGGTCATAGTCAAATATTCTTTAAAAGTAAAACAAATATATCCATGCGTTTCATTTTCACAAATAGGGTTCAAAAATTAAACTACGTAACTAAAATATTTATTTTTATTAATATATTAATAAAACATAACTTGTATAAAATAAATATGATAAATCAAAATATAAATAAAATACATTTTGGTGACTCAAGATATAATATAACTCACCTTAATTTTAATACCCCACTCTCTCTTTCCACCACCAAAGATCCTTTCAGCATCCATTGTTTTTTTCTCTATTTTCTTCTTCTCTTTTCTCTCCTTTCTTTCTTCTCTGGTTTTCTCTTCCTTTTATATTAGACGTTAGGCTTGGCCAGCAAGCATACGTGACACGTAGCCACACACGTGGCCTCTCTATATTATGTGCCATTATAACTCAAGACTTGAAGCTTATTTGGATAAGGTTAGATTAGTTTACGTATTTATACTTTGACCTCTAAATTCATAATAATTAATTATTTATTTTAGCACCATTCTCATTATTATTATTATTTATATTTTGACCACTAGATTCATAATAATTATATTATTTTATAAAATTACGCATAATAATATATAATAAATTATATATTTTCCGAATTGAGATTAAATAATATTTTATAAAGAAAATATTTTAAATAAAAAAAATTACAAAAATATTATTAGAGTGAAATGTCAATGACATTTTAAAAATTATGAGAATAATAATGGTTATTTTGATTGAAAATGAAGAGGCTATTATAAACCATATTATCTATGAAAATTTTATAAATTTTTTTGAATATAACGGTGATGTCATTATTATTGACATGCAAGTATAATTAATCCTACTATAAAGATATGAAATTTATTAGATTGCTAGTTACATTTGACATGTGAGGTTCACTCTCTATATGTTTATTTACTATTAGTTGGTGATATCACATACTAATGATGACGTGGTATTACCATTATATTGAATTTTTAATCAAATTTTGTATAAAAAAAATAATTTATCATTATATAATTTATTTTAAGATTTATATCTATATTTTTTTATATTGTCCATGATACAATAGCTATAAATAACATTATTTTTTATGTTTCATATTATAATTAATAAGTGCTCCATCTAATTTGATTTTCTAACTCTGTCACTAAATATATATATACATATATATATATATATGATATGCGTTGTCTTTATTAATAAAATCACATTAAAATATAATAGGAATTAAAATTTTAAAATTTGAATTGGACATGCTAAAATAATTTTTAAGTTCAAATAAAATGGCCCCTAAACCAAATAGAAACTTGGTTATGGCCCTTAGGTTGATATATTTCTGAATTAAGTTTGCCCAATGGTTCGCTCTCGTTGGACCGGGTTAGACACTTTTGGGCTGGACCCTTAATTTGCACTTTTAAGCCCTTTGTTATACCCTGGATTAACTAGAAATATAAGCGATTAAGAACCTTGAGAACCTAAACAAAAATGTAGAAGTGAGCGTACCCCAGGCTTTCCTTTCTTCCTTTTTTGGCCAATACCATTTTTCACCTTAATTAGCAAGAAATATAAGCCAATGAGAATCTCGAGAACCTAAACAAAAAAGTGGAAGTGAATGTACCACAAGACTCTCCCTCTCTTTTTTAGCCAACACCATTTTTCTCCTTGAATCGGTCAAAAGCCAAAAATCTTTTTTATGTTAATAATTCTTCTTCTTTTTTTTTAATTTCAAATCCAACTAAATCTAGACAAATTTTTTTTTTAATTTTATTTTTTATAGATTTGCTAGACATACCTATTTAATTTTGATTTTATTTGGGACAGGTGATCTAATATCTTCAAATGACATTTAATTATGAATAATGTTCCACATTTTGGTATCACATTTGTATACCATCTGATGTGGTGCGCTAATTAATCAACTCTGTGTTTATGTGTATCACTGGACACTAATCTACTATTTTAACCTCTCATTGGAGGTGTTCTAAACTAAATAAAGAAACTAATTGGAGAAGTTCTGTTGATCCCTCCTATCACACCTATTTAGAAAGTTAAGGGCCTAATCCTTATCAAAGCCAAAAACTGATTCTTTCTCATCAGAGTTGTATTGTGCTATTTATTTCTTTTCATTACAGGCTATTTTTCTTATGAAGATTGTTGGGTTGTTGAACTGTTATAATTGTAATTGATTATTTTCTCCCGGCCCCCCTCTGCATCCTGCGTCCCGAGTAAGGATCCTCTAGAGTTTTTTTTTTCCTAAGTTTTCTAAAGTGGTGTGTTGTATGGTTCAGATTTAATGACAAGTCACATCAATTTTTTAGCATTAAATCTCACCCATACAACACACCACTTTAGGAAACTTTAGGAAAAAAAAAACTCTAGAGGATCCTTGATGCTTCGTCCCGTCCCACATGGATTTTTCCTGCCACGAAGAGGAAATGGAGTGAGGATGGGTTATACATATATTTATATATATCATTTAGTAATTTTTTTAATATGATAAAATTAAAACTCAAGATATTATATAATATTCATTCACTCATTTATTTCTCATCTAACCTCTTTTAATTTCAACGCCAAATTATTTATCAAATGAGTCCTCCAGAGGTAATTAATAATCATTTATCCAAGGATTTGTCTGGTTCCTTTGTGAATAATTCTAATGTTGGTGTCAACTTAGTTAGCCAGTTTGTGATGTCCTGTCTTAACTAGTGAGTGTATCAACCTCTTCAGAGTCTCATAGGTTTGGTGGTCCCTATGTGATGCCTTAATTTGATATTTATTGATTAAAATAGTGATGGTCAATTATTTTTATTAGATTTTTTAACGATAATTTGACAAATATCAAATGATAATTAATATGAAATATTTTTCTAAGACTATCAAAAGCGTCTTTGATTTTGTCAACCCCTAAATAATAAGATATTCCAAGGAGCTAGAATTGCAAAATTTGTAATGTTGGTATTATAGATTAAAAAGTCTAATCTACTGCTTTGATTCGTCGTGAATTGAATATCTACACAAAAATATCATTTAAAGAAGCCTATATATATGTGTGTGTGTGTGTGTGTGTGTTTGGTGAACTGTTGATGGGTGACTAGAAGGGTGAGTGGGTGGCCGAAAGGGGGTTGTTGAAGGTGGGAGAGGAAGGAAGAAATGAAAATTATTTTTAAAACAAGTGAAACACTTTTTATATGTTTTCTCAAATTTTGAATTTTTTGAAACTGTTACCATTTTTTAGTAATGAAAACAATTAGCAAAATCACATATTCATTTATAAATTTCAAAATTTTGAAACACAAAAATAAACTACATAAATATTAATATACAAATCCTGTTATTAAGAAGCGGGAGATAATAAGACTAGAATCAGATATGTTAGATAATTAATGGGTTGGGTTTCTTTTAATGATTCCATTTGTTAATTACTTTTAAGATTGCGTATAGATGATTTATAAAAAAATTAAATTAATATTAATTGTAGTCATATAATTTCATCTTATTAATTTTCAAAAAAAAGACAATCAATTCCAAAAGTTAACAAAATGAACCGATTGATTCTTTGTAGTTGGTTCAATTCACTATAGTTATGTTTGTCAAGACGAATTAGATTAGATGAGATAAATATTCTTAAGTTGTAAGATTATGTATCTATTTCATGTTTAGATTGATTCAAAATTATGAAAAGAAATTTACAAAATTTTATTAATTTGAAAGGGTTAAGCTTCTCTTCAATCTAAAATCGGATTGAAGCTTGATGTTAGATCTTTGTGGGTCTACCAAGGAGCTCATATAAATGATTTGAACTGTTCTAAAATCGGATTGAAGCTTGATGTTAGATCTTTGTGGGTCTACCAAGGAGCTCATATAAATGATTTGAACTGTTTAATATATAAGGTTCGTCGAATATTTCATTTCTGCAAAAAATTATGTGGATCAGATATCAATTATCATTTGATCAGATCAAATTTGTGACAACGATAAATATGATTTTAAAAATATATTGTTGACATAAATGTGATCTGAAAAATAACTATTGATATCCGATCAATTTAATTTTTTATAAAAATAAATTACTACACATTAAATAATATAAATTATCGAGACAAATCTAAAATAGACCAAATTAAACCGTCCAATTAAATATTCCAACTGGTGACAGTCTTTCCCTCAGTTAAAACCCAAAGGTGTATGCGAGATTTGCTCCTTTGTATAAAGAACCCCAACCTTTTTTTTTAAGGGTAAATTACATGGACACCCTCTTAGGTTTGATATAATTATATTTCACCCCTTAATATTTTAGAAATTATATTTTTATCCCTATAGTTGATAGTTTTATTTTACAAATTTCTCAGCTTATATAAAAGGCAATTACTCCTAGTAAAAAAACAGAGGATATTAACGCCAAGTTTGGCATGATTGAAAAAAGACAAAAATTCAAAAAGTCACTATCCTATTTAAGTCACATCACCTCTCTAACACATCATTTCAAACCCAACCCAAACTCAACCCATATTTTATAAAAAAAGTCAAAAAGTGCACTTATTTAGTCCTCTCAAACTAGGTTGAAAAAAAAAAAGAAAAAGTAAAGCAAAAGAAAGGGAAAAAAAGAAAAAAAAGCAAAACAAGTAAAACAAAGTTAGAAAAGAAGAGCGTATGAATTGAATATCTTTATTCCGATTAAATAATTATAATGACATGAGAAGTGTAATTTTTCAAATGTTAAATAGTGATATATATTAAAGTCAATTCTCATAAATGAAGTGTAATTTACCTTCTTTTTTTTTTTTAAATAGTAAATAGATTCCATTGCCCCCTTATGTCACAACAAATTTTTCTCCTTCTTTTCTTATTTGTCTTCATATTTTCTTTGCTATCAGCATACCCAACCATGTTTTTTTTTTTTTTCAATGCTTGATGCGACCTCATGGAATTATAAGTAGGTATTCAAAAATTTATTTAATATTTTTATTAAATGATTAAGATTCACTTTAAGTGTAACTCTCATTGTATAAAAATAAATTAGACCACATATTAAGAGAATGTTTAGAAATTGATTTTTTAAAGTATTTTTTGACTTTTTAACGAAAAGATATATAAAAAAGTAAAAAATAATTTGATAACTTGTTCTTTTTGACTTTTTAACTAAAAATCAAGGTTCCAAACAAGGCCTAAGATTCTAGATAATTTTTTAGCAATTTGTACATTTTGGGTTTGGCTTCTTTGAAGTTATCATCTTAACTTGAGAGAGTGTTTGGACTTAGTAAATTAATTTTGAAACCGATTTTGGTAACCGAATTGTTCACTTTTTTGGAATTG